TGTGTGTGTGTGTGTGTGTGTGTGTGTGTGTGTGTGTGTGTGTGTGAGGACACAGACGGATGCAGACCTGTCTTTATAGTTGCAAGAGCAAGAAACAACTGCAGAAAAGAAAAATACAACTGGGCTCTGCTTTTTAAAGGTTTCTGCTCATCTTTTTGTTGTCTGTACAGTACAAACATAGTGGTGGACTTCTGGGGGGAGAGGGGAGGATGGGGGAACGGACATTGATAATACTGGGTGGGGTGAGGGTGGGGGTGGGAGTTTTAAAATCAACACAGAGACCGAAAGAGAGACTGAGAGGAGAAGAACCAGATGGACACACTGACAAAAAAGCAAAAGCATCAAGGAAAGGACGAGGAAGGTGAGAACAGCCTGGAGGCGCTGTGAGGAGAGAGCCACGGTACCCACGCGTGTCCACAGAAGCATCATTATCAGGAGGCGCTGCCCAGGCTTCTGCCATCTCACTACTGGCAGTGAATTCCAGCTCTGGCCTTATCAGCACAACACAACTGTTTCTCTGGCCAGTTTGTCACAGCGCTGCTCCTTCATCACTCCTCTGTCGTTTATGCTCAGTTCCTCTCCTTCGGCCTGTCTCTGCTTTCTCTTTGTCTCTTTCTCGCTCTCTGTGTGAGGAGGCAGCTGTGGGCCCGGGGTCGTGACTGTCGGGCTCTTTGGTGGGGTTGGGGTGCGGAGGTGTCGCTCCGCCTAAAGGTGTGAATAGCTTTACGCTGCTTGGCTGCTTCCTTTGGCTCTAAATTCGAGGGGCTGAGGTCGGCTCACACACTGGGCAAAGAAACGAAATTTTAAAAAGTCAAACAGCAACCAAACCAGCATATCGGTAGAGTAGTTGTGATCCAGCCCACTCAGCTGGCCCTCTTTAGCTTCACTATAATGTCCTTCTGCTTCTTTGCTGCCACTGGAAAATCTCTGCGAGTCATTTCATGTAAAGGTTAAAGGTGGACGGGAAACTGATGCTTCAGGATTCCTGCGTCATGCCTTTAATCCGCTGTGTCACACCCTGAACCAGCGCTGAGGTGTGTGTGCGTTATAGCCTTACTTGAATAAAGTTGTCTAATTTGATGTGATAGGCTTTTTCCCCCGTCTGAATCGCACAAACGATGTAGTTTAAAGTAAGTTAGAGAAGTAAGTGGCTCGTCCCAGCGTCACGTGGACATTAACAGTGTAGATATTAAGCACATCCATGCCTTACACAGCCCACTGCACCTCCACATTAAACATGTGGTCCCGTTGAATGTGTTTGCTGACCTTTAATGAGCTCGTTACCCATCACTACCACTTTGCACTCGCGTGGCCGGACCGTGATTCTCACACTGATCATGTGAAGTCTTAAAGACTCTGAATGTGGCGTGTTTTTTGGTTTTCTTGTTCTGCTTTGTGCGCTGCTCCCTCAGCTCCTCCTGCTTTCTCAGTGCTATAGCATTTCATTTGGGTGTTTTATAATTCTTAATAATAATAATGTGTTTGACTGAATGAACCCGCAGGGTTTGGATTGTGTCTTTTAAGTCTTAATTCTGGGTTTTGTGTGGGGCCCTGGTGCTCTGTGGACGGGGTCGGCTGTGTTTTTGGACTCTTATTGCTTCCACATGCTGCAGAGAAGAGCGTGTACACATTTTTAAAAAGTCTTTGAATAGGTGGAATAAAAATGGGAATCTGCACACTGTGTCCCTCATACTTATTAAAGCAATGATATGTTGTGGCTGTTGTGTGTTTAAAGGTAGAGCTGCAGTGATTGGTTAAAAACACTGAAGCACTACAGCCATTAAAAAAACAAACACTTTGAAGTTTAGCTGAGCTCCCCTTCGAGGTCATCTTGTCGCGTACCTCAGTCCCTGGAGGTGCTCTTCTGACCACTTGTATGTGGTCATATACATGTGGTGATGAGAGGTAATGGTGATCATCTGAAGGAGGACGGTAAACAACGTGAGCCGAGGCTCGTGCCGCCGCTCACCTTAGAAGCGTTTTGGCCGTGCAGACTTTGGGAGCTGCCTAAAAACAGCAGCTGGGTAGAAATGAGTGGAGGTAAACCTCATCCTGGAGCAGGAGCTCTGCAACACAGTCTTCTTCTTTGTGTTCTGACCAAACAATTACTATATTCAGCAGACCTGGTATATTAAAAATGGCTTTTACTTGCAGCACGGGACTTAAGGAGGTTTGTTTTATTTATTTTAAATTGAACTGGGAGTTATCAACACAGTGTGCAGATCTTTTCCCCCTTTCTCCTTTTCAGACAGCATTTCAAACCCAGTACTTTTTTCAGTGTGATGCAGAAAATTTACCCTTCAACACAATCCATCCAGTCTGCAGCTGTTGACTGTGGCGTATGCAGCTGTGCTACACACTCGTTTTGTTGCTTGGTGATGGGGTTGTTTTTTTCTCGCTCCAGGGAATAGCTCGCCAAAGTATAGATGTTTCCAGTTTCGCATGCTCTCTGGGGTCATTCTTGGAATGCACAGTAGGAAACTGACTTAAGTAGACGAGGCAAATTAAAACAAATACACTATAAAGTTTGTTAAAACACCTCACCAGTTTTAATATCTATCTATATATATTAAAAAATAGGTTTTAAGAGCAGACTAGTCCTTTAACTATAGACCAGAAGCTGGATTGTGACTATACTTGACACAAAGCAGCCTTTATGTTAAGGTTGAGCTTTTCATGATTTCCCGTCACCACTGTGTGAATGTGGCACCTCTTTCCAGACCAGCAGATTCCACATCCCTGTCCCAGATCTCCAAGGCTCTGTAACATGCTGGCACGATAGGTCTGCGTAGCCTTGTTATTTACTACTGAATCCTCAACTCTGTACAGGCGCTGAGAAAACGATCGCATGGAACCTTGTTACTGTAATAATACCCTATACAGTATATAATATATAATTTTTTGATAACTTGCATCAATGAAAACCTACTTACAAGACTTCCTGTTTTTCTTTTTCTTTGGAGCACATGGTATCTAAGGACCTTTTGTTTCTTGTCTGTTTTGGTTTATTTGTTTCCTTGTAGAATAGAAAGGTTGTTTCTTCATGTTTCCATTTGGTTTTTACACTTGTGGGGTTTTGTGTCTTTTACTGTAGGGAGAAGAATATGATGATATCGTGTTTAGGATAGACGAGATTAACGCTTACGCTAATAAGTGGCAATGACATGGAACATTTCAGTGATAGCTAGCTGGTGTGAGGATACTCAAGAAATTGTGAACGAACAGTGTCTGGTTTACACTGAGCGATAAGCAGTGATGAATCCTGGGATATGAAGTTTCATGAGTGTACATTGAAGGGCTTGGTGGTGATGCAGGCTCTAGAGACCCCTTTCAGATCTGGGACGTTGCAAAGCTCTTCCAGCTTGGTACTCCGAGTGCTCCGCAGTCTGTAAAAGGCTAACCTCCTTTACTAACAGGGAAGGAGCGATCGGGTTGAGATGATAACAGCTGACTAGTGAACGCGCCTCTAGAGCCTGACCTCCACCTCTGAGAAATTAAAAGGATTCTCTGTGTTGCCTTGTTAATATTAATTGTGGACACATAATTTTATAAATGACAAAGACGTGGAAATAAAGATTATTTATCTTGTTATTTATTCAGAGGCTGTGGGTTTTTTGTTTAAATGGATGATTGTCAGTGCACCCCCCAAACACTTGGGACAGTCTTCGATATGTAAATGAAAGCACGAGGCAATAATGAGCAGATGATTTGAATACTATAGCTGTGTCTCACTTCAGGGGCTGCATCCTTCGGTGGACCCGGCCCACGTAGACCGTGAAGGCCGGAAGTGCGAGGTTGTGAGATGGGACGGTCTAACCTTCAGGTTTGCGTCACCGCTGTCTCAGTGGAGTTTAATAAACTCAGCCGTCTGCTCCTTGCTATCTAAAATGTAACAGGACACCAGAGTAAACTCTTGACCATCAGATTTACTCAGGAACAAATCAAACACTGAAAAATATCATGTTTGTGCCGGGAGGTCGCTGTTCTCGCCGGCTCCAGTGAGCCTTGAACCCCAGTCAGCTATCGAGCTGGTGGGTAACAGACGTCTCCGAAAACATCGGAGCGCGTTTGCAAATGTGCGATGTCTTGATAAACTGAGCAGATATTTGAAGTTTGCACAGCTACATACTCGCCTGAAAATATCTTAAAAGTTTATTTTGTGGCCCAGAAAGAATATTTCAAACTTTTTAGCCACGCTCCTCAGCCATTGTTTGAAAAGTATTTTTATATTATTATAAAAATACTATAGTAATTAGATTATTATTCAAAGTATTGAAAAGAGTAATATTACAACTAAGTAGCAGCCGCCATTGTTGGAAACTGGAATTGGCTGCTGTGCTATGAATTCTGGGATATGGTGGTCCACGAAGGACACACCCCACCCATCCTCCAAATCTGGGGAAAGGGAGGACGCATTTGTCTTCGAATTGGGACAGCCTTCGGCGCATCGCTGTGACGTAATCAGCCTTCAAAGGCGGCCCCTGAATTGAGACACAGCCTATGTTTATTTTCAAAATAGTAAAGACAACATAGTTTGATGCCAACAGGTGCATTTCAGACAAATTAACCACTCGGGCATGCGGAGAATATCCCAACCACGAGACGACCCCCTATCAGCAAGCACCCGGTGACTGTGGGGGGGACCTGCCGCAGAACCAGGATCAGGGAGGGGCAGCCATTGGCTGAGGGACATGGGACAAAAGACACTCTGTGAAAGAGATTAATAACAACTAATGAGTAAATGCAGTGTGAAGAATCCTTAATCGGCCACATTATAACAGGATGGGTCAACAACGAGTTTAAATACTTGGGCCTCTGCCAGTGTTCAGAAACGAAGAAGCCTCTTGGACGAGGGTGAAATGTCTTCACAAACCTAAAACAAATCCAGTTGCCTTCATTCAAGAACGTCAAGAGCACCGTGACCTGGATGGACCCGTACGGTCAATCTGAGTTTACGAGCAGCTCTTTACAAGA